TTAAATATTTTTAATACAAAAATAAGTATTCAACTTGAGGCATTTTCGCAAATAACACAAAAAAAACGCTATCAGAAGTGTTCTTAAATTATTTTAGAAAAAATTAATTAATAATGTTTCCAATTCAGAAAATAGAGAACAACATTTGATTAGTAAAAAATTATGATTTATTATATGGATTAAAAGATAATGGCTAAAGCCTTTGACCTCTCAAAAGAGAACAGCAATTAAAAAGTGTATGATTCTCACACTGTCAATTAATTAATTAATGTTAGTTTAATATCATAAATTATACAATAAATATAAAAAAAATACTTATATGTTAAAAAATGTATATAAATATTTACTAGCATATAGATAAAAATGATTAATAATATACAATAATAAGAAGACAATAACGACTCTTTCTGAAGTTTGACCCATTTGACGATATAAATATATTAAAATCTTTGATATCAGCGTATCAATTTATATACCTATGATAGTTTATTTTTTATATACTTTATTTATATTATTCATATATATCTATGAGAACAGAAAAAATTATTTAATACTATACAAACTATATATATTATAAAGTATACAATAGAATATATGCCACACAAAATATATATATAACTTAAACCATATGTGAAATAAAATATATATTCAAATTAATATTAAAAATATTTATAAAAATTTTATACTATATAAATTAAATGGAAATATATAAAAAAAAATAGAACTCATTAAGTTTTTAAAACTTTAATCAGATTTCTTATTTTCTTGTTTTTTGTCATTTATGATTTATATCTTTTTAATATTTTTATACAAATTATTCTTAAGTATAGGAATACCGCAACAAATCGGTAAAAGTACTGGCAGTTTTTTTTTAAATAAAACTATAAATCTTCTTTAACAATAGATTTATATATATAAAAAAATCTATAAATCAATTTTCATCTATCAGATGAGAATAGAGAGTCAAACAGATGAGTTCGAATACATGTGGTAAACGATTTTATACGACTTATAATATCTTAAGCCAACAGTTATAACTACCAGCAGATGTCACATTTAACAGAAATGATATACCTGTTAGTTTCTGAATATGTTTTTATTAGAAATTTCATTTAAAAAAGTCTCACTAATAGAGATAAATTTTGATTTATATTCAAGTTGACTCTACCACTATACAAAAGGTACAAGTTGCTCAAAATCAGGCTCTCCGAAGAATCTTCATCCGCACAAATGACATGCTAAGAGACTTTAGAATAGATCCGGTCAAAAATATCATAAAGGACAGAGCTCTGAAGCTATATGCGAAAACTGACAGGCTGTCCTACTTAACACTATATAATCTCAGAGTAATCACTAACCGCATGCGGGTGTACGCAGATCTTAGATCAAACATTAAATAATGACGAAGATTATCAGGAATGCTCATATTAGTCAGTGAGATGGGCGGGACTCTGCAAAATCCCCCCAGCTATCATAGAGTAAAAGTGCCCAGATGCACTAACTCGGAAAATGCTTAACATAATAATCAAGTTGAATGTCATATTTCAATCCAAACGTTTTTTAATTTGTAAAATGAATCTAATGAATGGAATTAAAAAAAAAATAATTTATCTGTATTATATATATGATTCTATGTGCTCTCTCTTAAAATCTCCATACTAAAAATCTGATCTAAAGAAGTGTCATCAACAAAGATAAAGTCTGCTTGTCTCTTAATTTAATTTTTAATATATCACTGAGAACAATTATTAAAGAAAAATATATTCTCTTCAATAATTTGTTAAATTCAGTTTCAGATATTGGTTTAATTATTTCAGGTGAGTTAAATTGGATTGACTGCCTTGTATCTTTAACTATCTACTTCTTAATTAGTCATAAACTGTTATGGAATTTTTAAAGTCCCACAATCAAAAGAATACTTTATATCCAATCTTTTTCAGTCTATCACACTATAAACCTATGATCATAATTTGATAGAGCTAAAAGTAGAAGTAATTATTTTAAAAGTAGAGTTCTTATTATCTCAAACTATATACCTATGTAGCACTTATAATGCAATATTAAAACAAATAATTTTTAAATTCAAATATTGAATTAATTAGTAATATTGACGATTAACAACAACTCATGAGTTAGCTTGTAAGGATATGTACATAGTGAATCATCTTCAATTTTTTTAGTATATAGAGCTTAACTTCTTACACCGTTTATCAAGATAGGAAATATATTTTTCACTACAGAAATTAACAAATGAATAAACTTTAAGCAAAATAATAGATCTTCTATATGTGTATATTCTCCTGATTAAAGATTCTAGACCAAATTTCGTTAGTATTATTGTTAACTGATTTATTGATAAATAGCAGAATACTACGTTTGTGTTGGATTCCTCTAATATTTAACTATAATTATTATTATTATTTTTACTATCTGCAATCTAAAAAATCTATTGTTTTATCTGTCGAGAAATTCTTTTAAGCTAACTTGGACAAATTATGATTATGCGTTAAGGTTTATTGATTTAAGATCAGAAATCGAATACTGTTCAATGAGATCCAATGACAGGTATTGGATCTCAGTGTATTATATATATACATTTATATATCTATGTATATATATATTTATATATATAAAAATAGATAGGTAGATATATATAAAAATAAATATATATTTATATTTATATATATAAAAATAAATATATATTTTTATTTATATATATAAAAATAAATATATATTTTTATTTATATATATACATATAGGTTTATTTATAATCATATACGTACATATTTATATAAATATAAGTAAAATAAAAATATATAAAAATAATAAAAAAATTATATGTATATATATTTATATTTATAATTATATATACAGATATTTATATAAATATAAATAATATAGAAATATAAAAAAATGTATTAAATAATTATATATATATTATAATTATAATTATGATTTAAAAAGTTCGAAATAAAAAGGTTGTACATTTTCAAGTTTATATCTCTGTGATTTGTGATATGTGATATGATTGATTGTACAACCTTTACAACAGCATTAAAATATGAGTAAAATTTTAATTCACTAAATGCAGTAGCCCTAAGCGAAAAGTTCTATAAAAACTGAATTTAATCCTCAATTTTACTCTAGTGTGGCATGGGCCACCAGCATGTAATAACGATGGATAATCTGGAATAAAGGTTACATTTTATGGTATAATGATTATTAAAAGGAATTTTTTATATTTTCACTATTTAAGTATCAAGATCAATTATTGCTGATAATCTAGAAATACATGTTTATTTTCATAAACGAATTGAATGCAATTCTAGAAAAAATTATTGATTAATTAGAAAAATTCTCATAGGTGACACGTTTTAGTATGAAAAACTTTGAAATAATTGTTGTTAAAATCAATTTATCGAGACCCTTTGCTTCAAAGACTGTTTCTTCAGTAAACGCAGCTGTTTAGCAAAGATTTCCCAAATTTACTTGTAATTAAAACAGTTCCATTTGCTAAACACTACCCACCTAATGATAATATGCATTTGTGGTTTCAAAATGGACTGGCATGAGCCGAAATAAAGCGCCTTGAACAAACACGGCATGCACGAATTTACACATTGAACTCTACATGACTCCACGCTGCTCCACGTAATAAAAGCCCAGCTCATTAAATATGTTATTTGGCATACAAAGTTTAAAGTTCTGCACTTCAAGTTGTTTTCTGAAATTATGGGTTAACTTTGCTCGAATGTGCAAACAGACTACCAGAGCTTAAGACCCATTTTAACCATCTTTTCAACATGAGTTAAACGTTTCTGTTTTTTTTTTTTTATATAGCAATAAAGCAAAGAACACAGTATTATTCTGTGAAACTTTACTTTTGGGTACATGCAATTTGCAACTCCGTTTCTTCTACGTTTGTTGATTTATAATTGGCATACGTTTCGTGCGCCATACCACGGGCAAAGGGGCAACGGAGCAACGGGGCAAAGGGGCAAATAAATGCAACACTGAAATACGTTTGTATTGCGTATTTCCGGCAAATGTCATCGCAACGCAAATGTAAACTTTTATGATTAGTATTGCACTTTTCACCTCTCCTAACTACTACCTACTCGTATTTGCACTACTGCTCTTGAGTGCTATGCATTTTTTTCCCCATTGCATGCACTTCGCAGCGTTGCATTTTGCAGTGTTGCCAAAGTCTGTTTTATTGCCAAAGTCACAATACCTTGAATGGCATTTCTTGCAATGCACTTAGGTGCATTTGTAGTAGAGTGGTAGTAGTAGTGGTAGTAGTAGTGCGTGTAAAATCAGTTGAAATTCAATTTTCATTGAAACGGAAACAGGAAACGAGCAAAATTCCTATTTAGTTTGATCGCATATCGAACTTTGATTAAATAGTTTCATATGCGTATTTCCCCATATGGCTCCGTATGGTTCGGTAAGGTTCCGTATGGCCCCGTATCTACGCATATGAGTGCTACAATTATTTGTACTATTTTGCACGAATGAATTTCCAATAATTTTTTCTTATTTTATTTTTATTTATTTTTTGAATTTATTGTACGTGGCATGCGAGCAAATTTTTTCACATGCAACGCATAACTGCATTCATGCCACAAATTTTCTTCTTATGATTTAAATTGAAATCTGTAAAATGTACAAAAGTGCATTTTACATTTTACATTTCCATATTCATTTTCATGCTGATGGGTTGGTCAAGTTAAGTCACTAACTGGGCCCGGCGGCCATAGGCCATTACCGCTAACTATGCACTCTTTATCGCACAAAACAAAAATTACATGAAATCAAAAACCCAAGCTTAACTAACACAAGAAATAATTACAATTATAATACAAACAAAAAAACAAAACAAAAAAAAACAAAAAAAAAACAAAAAAAAACAGAAAAAAATAAATAAACATATTTACTAACATACATATGTGTAGGCTTGACACATACAAGCATACACAGTGAATATTGGCTCTACCTACCTGGCAGTAGTACAGTCCCGATAAAGCACATCGAAGTCCTTGCACGACAGTAGCTTGCAGCGATTTACGCCGGGCTGTATGGCGCCCAAGCCGCGTAGGATGCGCACCTGTTCCACATTGCAGACCAGTGGCACTATGTCGAGGCGCTTTAGTTTTGTGTAGACGGTATGCAGACCGCCGACGAGATGTTTGAGGAAGAGCTCGAATGCTTGCGGTAAGCATAGCATGGTTTCGCCGCTTATTATGAAGGCAGCTACTTTTTGGCCACGATATTCTACGAGTTTGCATTCGTTGGCGCTTGGATCGGAAGTCGAGATCGGTGGTGGACTATTATAGGAGCGTGGCGGTACATGATGATGTGCGGCGGCCATCAGTTCTAACGGTGATGCATGATGCATCATTTGTAATGAATTGAGCAAACCCAATGAATGTGGTGGCAGTCCGTGTGGCATGCGTGGTGGTAAACCTGCGGGCAGACCATTTGGTGTCGGTACGCCGCCAACATGTGGTGGCGGACTTAATTGATGATGTTGTTGTTGCATTTGCTGCATCATTGTGTGATTGAGCGAAGTAACCGGACTGACAGCGCTGGGATGACGTGTCGGTGAGCTGGCCGGTGAGCAACTAGAACCGCGTCCAGTGTGTGAGCTACGTCCATTGGTACGTTCATCGATACCACCGCCGCGGCTACTGTTGTCACGTGAGCCATTCTGTTGTTGTTGCTGTTGTTGTTGTTGCTGCTGATGATGCATCAGCAGTGTTGTTGTATTCATGTTGCTGCTGCTGTGATTGTTGTTATTATTGTTGTAAGTTGGGCTGTGTTTACTGTGTGGTGGACTATTTTTTATATTATTGTTATTATTTGTTATTAAATTGTTATTATTAATGTTCATCGCTTTCGCGGGAGTTAAATCGCGATTTATAGTTATGATCGATTCATGTGAAGATACAATACTATTTTCACTTGTTGTTGATTGTGTATCAATGGCAGAATCCATTCTTTGTCATATGGGACACTTGGAATTTTGCCTTCTTTTAAGAATTTCAATAAAATGCTTTTAATATAATTGCACTGTATAAAATATTATTTTATACATCAATATTAATTATTATTATTTTTTGTTGATGTATTTAATAATCTTAATTGAAAGTATTTTTTAAAACATCACTCCACACACTTGGATCTGAAAATCAAAAATTTTTTGCATAATTGTAAGAATTTTTTTTGTTTTTTTTTAAATGTCAATAAAATATTAAAAAAATATTTGAATTGAGTGTATTTCCGTAAATGAAGTACATATATACATATATATATACAAAAACTTATTTTTTTAATTAAAATATTGATTTTTTAAATACTTAGTTTCGTTTAAAAATACACTAACTACTAATAGAAAACAACATATAGACACGGGGCTATAAGTAAAGAAGTTTACTACACACACATCAAGTAAAGTTTATCTACAATTCCCAATAACTTATCTTAGTCCAAACTAATAATACGCCCCTTCTACTAGACAGATATATTATAATCTATATAATTATTGCAATTTGTGAAAAGATATCAAGTAAAATTTTTTAACAATTCTCCAAATGTTCCACTTAAACTCTATCTAGTAACTAATATGCCCTTTTCTAATACAAAGATTTTATACAATCCATTGAAACTCTACCTGGTAGATTATGTATATGTACTTTATTAAGAGACAGATTTCATATAATTAGAAAATCGTCACAGTCTTGAAAAAGATATTGAAATAATATTAAACACTAGAAACATATATAATAGTATAGTTTCAATTATATTAACAAAAATTAAGAAATTAATATTAATTTCACTATATGTATAATTTACTTTGTTGGAGAATAAGTTTAAGTTTAGAGATATTAATATTATTTATAGCAATTGTACCCTGTTTTATTATAATATTGTATTATTATAACTAAGTATTTAAAATAAATATATTTAGCGTATTATCTATAAGACTACACATCTCACTAGGAACTATATATTTGTTCTGGTAGTGCATAATGAATTTATAGAAAAGACTATAACTGCAATATTACGCTATAATAATTATTCAATTTTTATTACGAATAATGGCAATTAACAATAAATAATATATATATATATGAAAAGCATACTATATATAAAGTGTCAAAACGTTACACTACCAACTATGGAACGATCCACTATCTCACTAGTAACCATATATTTTTTCTAGTAGTTGATATGGTTATTGGTAACTTAATAATAGCAATAGTTAGAATTAAAAAAATAAAACAAAATAATATTAATATATAATAAATAATTCCCTTTATCGTGTTTTAAGAAACGCTAGTTAGTGTATGAATAACTTCTACACAATAATGACTGTGACTACTGGGGTGGTGATCGATCCACTGTAATATATATTCTAATATATTTTATATAGTATACTAAGGAATTCAGGTAAATTAATAAATGTATACTTTGAAGCCCATCATATCTAACTGACAGAATATAAATTTCAATTCTTTTAAGAGTGCGTAATGCCAGTAAACTTGAGAATTTCTACAATTTCAGGGTTCTGCCTTTGACCTATTTTTTAACGCTTTCGGTCCTTACATCTTTGTGTATATCTTTATAAATGACAAATTATTGCGGTTTGTAAAAATATTTGGAAATAATATTTCGATAATATTTATAATGATAATAAGAAACTGAAAATAATTAAAAGAAAATTTTTTACTAGAACTTATAATAAATTATCAGACCTAATTACAGAACTTCATTTTTATATATTTTTTTTTACAAAATTTGAAAAATCGGTCTTCATTACGAGTACTTTAATATGATTTTATATATTGTTATATATATATTTATTTGTGTGTGTGTAGTATATATAATAATACTTTATTTTATTTAATGTTCAATTTTTAACATATTTTTGTTATTGTTTTTTTTTAATTTTATTAATAATTTATTAATTAATATTATTTTTATATGAACACTATATGATACACTATATACTCGTAGATTATTTTATACTTTCATTATATACTTATAAATAAATTGATAATAGAGAAATATAATATATACACATGTATATTATATTTATAAATAAATTAAAAATAAATTCTTATGAAATTATTTTGCAGATATTTTTAAAAATATATTTTGTATATTTTACTAATATATATCTAACATATATACTTATATATTCATGGCAAATGCATTTCTCGTACTTTTTAAAAGCTGAGCGCTGAGATAATAAACTAGTATGATTTGCGATTCTAAATAATTTTAAAATTTAATATAAATAATAGTAGATAATCATAAAAATATGTGTCATCCGTTTGTTTCTTTTAATTTTTTTATTGTACATAAACAGAATTTTATGACATTCAACATTTTTTAATTGTTTTATTTTTTTTTTTATTAATATTTTAAGTTTTTTTTTCTTTTATAGATATTTTCGTATATATTTTTTTATAAATATTTTTTCATATTTACAATTTTATTTATTTATTTGTAATCGAATTATTTATGTTAATTATTTAATATTGTCTCAGATTAATTTACATTAAATATAAAAAAATGTTTATGTATTCTTTTATAAGCATTTTTGTTTATTTATTGAATTATATATTCTTAACATTATTATTAGATTTTATACTAGCACCTAGAGATCTATTGTGCCTCCTCCAGAGGCTCCTTAGAGTATTTCTCTAAGTTCAAAGTGTGCTCGATGATATATTTAATCACATAATACATTATGTTAATATATATTATTGATTCTTGTCAAATCCTCCTTTTTTATATAAATGAAATTATAAATTTAAAATACTTAGTAATTATTTAAATTTATTTCCTTCTTATATTTATTAGCAGCAATTAAAATATTCAGCAATTATTTAAATTTATATTGTGTTCATATTTATTAGCAGCAATTAAAACATTTAATAATTATTTAAATTTATATACTATTTATATTTATTATTAGCAATTAAGCTTAAGATTAATGATACATATTATTTATAGACTTCCAAACAAAGCTCTATTCTTTTTTATTATTAACAATGTATGGCATACCAAAGAAATTGACTAGCCGCCTTGTTAAAATGAGGCTAAGAAGTAAAACAAAGTAGGAACTAGCCCTGGAAGTGTTTACTTTTGTAACAAAAACAATACCAGTGTTTTATTAGGACGAATTCCTGTACTTCCTCTTATCTTACCTATTGCTCAAAACTGTGGTATATAAAAAAATTTGACGGTAATTAAAGCAGCTTCACTGATGACACACAATAGGTAGCCTAAGCCGATCAAGACTCTAAAACCTACCTACAAAAATCTCAAAGCCTTTACTGCTTTGAAAATACACTTCTTCAAAAGAAAATATACGTTAAGATCCAAGATCAGTTCAAATAACAGAGAGTTCATAATATATACATAAAATAAAATAAATAAAATAGATTAAAGGTGCTGATTCACCAACTCAGACATCTGAATATCAATATACATATATACATAATAAAATATTTAAAAATGTGGAAAAAGTATATGGGATTGGTATTAAGTTCAAGAAGTAATAAAATCACAACAATACATGATAAAGTTCTTGTTTCTAACAGAACGTTCCTTGAGTAAATCAAGTTTTTCAAATCCAAAATTCTGTCAAGAAATCAGAAAAAACTATATAAGGCAATATAGCGGTCAGTACTGATATACGGATGGACTACAGATATGGACTATAAAATTGTATGAGTTAAGCCAACTGGCTTATTAGAAATGTGACCTTTATTAAATTTTTGGTCCGGTACAATCACAAAATGTGTTAACATATATTAAAACTTAGTGATTGGATTGAGACTACGGCATATACATAAAGACAAGTACTTTATAGAATATATGGTCCAGTACTAAAAAAATAATAGTTTTTAAACCAATTGTGTATCAAATCTGATACAATCACAGAATATTATAACATAAGTAAATTTCAGCAATTAAGTTAACTAATGCGCCCCAAGCACATTACTAAACGCACTTACAGAATGACATCAATTTCTGAGCGTTGGAGATATAGACCAAAGGAAATATATTAAGTTGTGTACATGATTAAGAAGTCATTGGATCAGAAAAAAAAAGAATAGAAAATATTTGTTATTTTGTACTGGAAATTATGGAAATCATTGTGTTATTACAATGAGTCAACTTTGACTATATGTATCGACTGCTAACTTATTAAATCGACGTTCACTTTCACCTACCCACCTATTGATTTACAAAGCAGTAGCCCGCCAAGGAATATATTGTTAAGTTTAGAGATTTAGTTTTTTAATTTTTAAATATTCTGAATTATATGTGTTCTTTATATACATATATATATAGTTTTTCGAATTAGCACCTTTAGAGAAAATATTGGAGTTTTGGTTATAATGCATGGACTACTTTGAAATAAGAATGTCTAAGTTTATATTCTTAGTTTTTAGTCCATGAACTGTTTTGAAATGAAAATCCTTGAATTCAGGTTCTTACTTTTTATATCAAATAATTATTTAAAAAGAAAACATTTAAGGCATTAAAGGTAAAAGTTAGGAACACACTTTCTAATATATAAGTGGATCTTATTTTTAAGACTCTATTGTACATCTATAAACGCGTGTCTATATCTTCAAATACATTTGATATAGTATGTGCTTTTTATCTTAATTTTTATTATAATTTATGTATTTTTATAAAAAAATAGATTTAAAAGTTAAATTTTGAAACTTCTTATTTTTTTCTATATATATTATTAAATATATTTTTTTTTTATATTATTCTTTATTTTTTTCTTTTGGAAGTTATATTGAATAGTTTTTTAAATAATTAAAACACCTGAATATTTTTATTACCTTTCTTAATAATTTATTTATTTCATTTATTTATTATATATACATTTTTTTAATAATGACAAGTGTTTTGTTTATTCAAAAGAAAAAAAGGAAAAATTCCATAGTATAATTAAACTGAAAATAATTATTAATAATAATAATAATTTTTTTTTTATTTGAAACAATTTCCATCTGGATTTGTTATATTATATTGGTTTAATTAAATTTCA